AGGGTGGCCAGGGTGACCATTACAGAAAGACTGTTAGGCTACAGTAACACAGCATACAAAACCCAAAACCAATCTTTTTTCCTAAATGCAGATTTTTAAATCATTGCCAAGCCCACTAGACATCCACAGAAACAGCAGCGGTATCGCTGATTGCTTTGAAAAAGGCTGTTCCTATTTTACCTACCTTCTTTGTTAATGATGGGGTCATTGTGTCAGTTTAATAACATGGAGACGTAGGTACACAACTGTTAAGTTTTTTGTTTTGTTGTTTTTTTTCAGTATAGGTTTGTTTAACAATTCTAGTGACTGTCAGCCAATCAAATTTTAGCAAGAAATAAAATTTAAGTATAAAGACCTGCAGTGTGACCATAGCCTAAGTCTATTAAAAGAAATACTCCAAACACAGTAGATCTCCACCTGTAATAGATTCCCCATCAACAACACACCACCTCTTAACTACAGGTGCAGTGCTCCAATTAGAGGAGTACCCATTTATCAGGACCAATAAATTATAGGTAGTAATCTGTTTGACTCTGAGGAGGGCTTGCTTCCTGAAACATGTAGGAGATTTAATTGGCTTTGGTAGTTCCTACCAAGAAAGAGAAGGTAGAGGGTGCATTGGAATCCTCAGAAAGTCTAAATATTTCTCTTGGTTTCACCCACCCCTGGATAAATCATTGTATTTCCATTTAAAAACAAAAATAAGTTTGCAGAACCTCTGCTATAAAGCCTTATGCAAAAGAAACTTTTTAGCATAAGGAATAGGGAGACAAAACAAAAACAAGCAAAACATCTTCCCCGCTGTCATGTTGGCAGGCAGATTTAAGCAGGCGTAGATAAACAATTTCTCAAACATTGTTTCACTTTATGGTTAAATTTTCTCATATCAAATTGCTCAGTGATACAAATGCTCCCTGAAAATATGGCATCTCCAAAACACACTCATATTTCAGCCCTCATAAAGCCAAGCCCAGAGTCATCCAGCCTGGAAATTGCCCATGGAGAATTTGTGTTCGCCTGGATATTATACGTGCCACATCCCATCCCAGCCTTTGTGAAGACCCTCATCCCTGAATGGCCAATTTCCCCCCACCCTCTTCCACACTGACATTTTAGCTATCACACAGCCTACGGTCATAGGGAAGAAAATCTAGCCCACCCCTCTCTTCAAACACTGTCAGAGGAGAATCTGCTGCTGATACCCCCCTACCACCATCAGCACCACCTCTGCTATACACTCCATCCCTGGCGGCAACATTATGCTGTCCTTGATGTTTTATCATTAGCTTGGGAGTGTGTGGTCCCCCACTGCTGTCTTTTGATGGAGTGCAGGCAGTAAAGGCATGGAAACAGCCAGCCAATTTCCCTTGCTGCAGTTCTCCCTCAGCAAGGGGTCGGGCTATCTTCCCCCTGCACCAGAGCCTGGCAATATAATTTTCCTTGATGAGGTGGGCTTTCAGCTCTCCTTAATATAGTTGCATACCTGAATTGCCCTCAATTTTGTCTTTCTGATTATTTTTGTGAGAGGTTAGTGATGTGCCTAATAAGGAGAGTAAGGAGCAAGGATGTTGCTTGTGGCTCTACTGTGCTGAAGAATTAGACCAAGCCGGTTAAATTTGTCATCTTGCTTAATTATTATCGAAGTAGTAAAGTCAATGATGTTATGGTTATGGTTATTGCTCACAAAACATTTTCTAAGTACAATTTACAGCTAGCATAATGAAATATGATCCATTCCCAACACAGCATATCATAGTCGCTTATGTTTTAGCCACAAAGCCAGCTTTATTTCTATAATAAAGGTTCTGTCATGAAACATGGTTGAGGTGCTTGGGCTTTACTGGTACAGCTAATAAAGAAATGTTGGCAAACATGACAAACATGTCCATGAACAAACAATGATATACTAGCTCAGTCGATGCCGCTTGGCAGGGAGGAAGTAGGTCTGTAGCTCTGCTTAATTGTTAAAGCAACCTATGTTGCTTTAATAGTTACCTTCTCTTCAACTGCACGGCCTGTCTGCTGTCTCCTATCTTACTCCTGACAATGTTGCTTATATTCTGTGTGGGGTTTAGATCAGATAGGATTATGGGGAACTTCTTTTCCTAGCACTCAACCACTAAACCCTCCATTAATAATGTGAACTACCAGTTTGAGATCAGACTTTAGGTTTGGTAAAACACAGTGGATCAATACACTGTACAGAAATCCCACTGGACTACATACAGTGCACAATCCAACATCCTAAAATGTTTCCTCTTTTTTGAGGACTAAGTTTCCTCTCTTTTTCAGAAATATAAAAAGGCTACTGGTTCAGTTGTGGCTTGTGTGATACTATAAAGTAGTACCACACAAGTAGTCTCTCTCTTCAAAATCTTTGCTATGCTGCTGTTATCCTTGTTGCCTTATTTCCACCAGGAATCTCCCTTCCACTATATGTTGTATAGACCATAACATGGCAAATATATGCAACTCTTTTTAAATATTTCCAATATTATTTTGTAATATTACATTTTTCTTAGCAACTGAAGGAATATTTCATGACATTAATCCATTATCATCACAAATATCTGATAAAAAAAGGTTAATTGTATCCCTATTTGGAAGGAGTTGCACTTAGGTTCTCTGTTTATCACAAAGATTAATTCTGGAGACATCACCCTATTAAGTTCAATCATTTGTGGTTCCACCCAATAAAGTCCCCACATTTTTATGACATCATAAATCCATTTATGTACTTGTTTCTAAACTACAAAAATAATAATAATACCTAATCCATGTCTTGGATGTTCTATTAAGCTTTGTGGTCTAAATTTGGTCAACATGTTAAAAAGAAAACGCAGGGTTCATAGATGAACTGAAATGAAAAAATATTTTAAGCATTTGTTTAGCCCCTTTCAGCCTTTTAAACCAATACAAAAACATTTGGATTTCAAACATGAACTGTCTAAAAATCTGTTCTACTATATAATGATTTGTACAGTATGTTGTAAATAGGCCACAATGTCATCACCAATAACCTGGGCTTTTTTTTTAAGGAGACTTAGAAATGTCATTATTATGCAACGGTGAGGGAACAACCACTGCGAAATTTGAGGAAAAATGTTAAGAGATTTATTTACAAAACAAGTATGAACTCTAAACATAAATATGGGCCCACAAATAAAATTAGGTCAACAAAACCAAACTTGAAGTATTAATTGACCTAACACACTGACACACAAGGGGAACATATATACTGGCTGATCAGGCCATTTTGACACAAGAGGGAACATTTAAATACAGTTACCTAAATAAAACTACAACAGAAGAAGTAAACTAATCTATGCAATTGAAAATCAGTAAATAGACAAAATAATTGAAGTAATTAACAAAATTGAAAAAATTTTACTTTCCCACACCTCTTCTAAAATAAGTGGAAGAGTCCAATCAAGTCTCAGTGCCACTGAGATTATTTGCAGCTGGGACTCCTGCTTCACTTGCCCTGCCTGGTCCACATGACAGCCTCACAGAAACTGGCAACTCAGAAGAAAAGTATTAATTTAAATCAATACCATACAAGCAAAATGTGTCAAAATGAATCAACCAAATGTGTGCACCAAAATATGGTACACAAATATAATGTGCTACATTGGCTGCACATGCTGCCATCACAGCAACATACATGTGATTTACAAGCAAACATGTACATTGTTTTTGCTTTAGACATCACAACATTTTTCTTTAATTTCAAGCATTGATACATGGACTCCACAGGATTTACGCTAGATTCTCAAAACTGTTGCAGAGTAGCATATCATCTCCCCCCAAAACATTTCAGTATCTCAGAAACTCCATTTGAAAGAAATTCCAAAATGCATCAAAACTGTTCTTTAACCCAACCTTAAAAAAATTGTCTTTGCTTAGTTCATTCATTTTCAAATTCCTTGAATAGGAAACCCAACAGATAACAATGTTTATATTTTTACACATTAAGGCTGTTTGTAAGTATGCTCATTTTTGCTTTTGGCACAAACACGGTCATTGCTTTTGGGGGAAAAAAAGGTTTGGATGTTTTTTTAAGCCTTAAGTCCTTTTTGAAAATACATGTTAGATGCACAGGTGAGCATAAAACCTAAAAGTTTTAAAAAGGAATTTGAAATGTATTGTTTAAGTTAACAAATCATGTAGAAATTATTAAATCATTCAGGCAGGAAACTGCTAACAAAACAGTTATTTTATTAACAGTTAGTTAATCTAAGCAGCTGAATGGTATATCAATACAGTGGCAACACAGACTTGTGGGGACTCTTGGAAGTGCTTCTAAATAAAGCCAAACAGTTACCCTTATATTATGCTGAAGTAGTTTTCATAACTTGAAGGATCCTTCCTAAAAGGGAAAGTAGTCAATTGTTATTTTTCATAGTTGTTGGGTCAGATAGATATATATATAAAAAAAAAAACAGTAACGAAAAAACAAGCTTTTTTTCCCCATCATGCTTTGTATCTAATCACTTATAATATTCATAAGGAAAATAATGAAAGCAAATACAAATTAGTTTAATAACTTGAAATATTATGTAAAATAAAATAATATCTATATCTATATCTATATCTATATATATATATATAGAGAAGAGAAGTTTCATATCCTCAGGATTTTGTTTTTTTATCTCTGTGTATTCATTTATTCAGGCTGTGCTGAAAGCATTAGAGTGATACTGCTATTTCCAACTCCCCAAAATGAATATGGGAAAAATACTGATGGGGAGACAACATTTAGTAACTGATAGCACATATAGATTAAATGGGGAAAAAGAGCAAAAACAAATCTTGCCATCTTCAAGCAGCTTCACAGCTACTAACATGTACTCTAACTCTCGCCAAAGCTTAAATATGTGCATGTTACTGTATGATGTTTTATAGTACAGCCTTTCATCTTTAGTGACTTTGTCTCTTTCTTTGCTCTTGTCTATATTTTTCTTATACATGTTCTGTATTTTTCCACTCTTTCCATCTAGATGCTCCCACTACTCTCCCCACACCCACCACCAACCCAGTCAACACGCAAGGTACTGTATTTCCCCACTACACTGTAAAAAAAAAAATCCGTTGTTTTTACGGAAAAAAACTGGCAGCTGTGGTTGCCAGAATAATCCCGTAGAAAATACAACAAAACTGTTAACAACATTACGGAACAACTTGTACATTTTACTGGGATTTAATGTACAATAAATGATGACTAAATGTACATTTTGCAGTTATTCAGTGTACAATAAGCAGTTTTAGGACGTGAAATTTACAAGTTGTTTTGTAATGTCGTTTACATTTGTACTGTATTTTTAACGGGGTTATTCTGGCAACCACAGCTGCCAGTTTTTTTCCGTAAAAACAACATTTCTTTTTAAAGATGTTTACATTTGTACTGTATTTTTAACAAAATCATTCTGGAAAAACAACAGTATATATATTATATATATTTTACAGTCTTACTATCTACATTGCTTCAAATTACTTCTAAATGAAAAGTCAAGCTGTAACAAACCACTCGTCAGACAATATAAAATTCACAATAATGCAAATTTATTGTTGAAAAAATAATGAGAAAGAGATCATTAAAGTGTGTGTGTGTGTGTGTGGTTGCACTTGTGTTTGTGAGAGAGAGGAATTGTGAGTGAATAAATGTGAACCTTGTTAATATAGAGCCACGAAAAAAGGTGATATAGGTGTTCATCGGCTCCATCACTTTGAAGGAACACCTAGGGGAATAGAGAAGAGAAACAAACAATAATCTCCATTAGTTTCATTAGCAAAGTCAACAATAATCAAAGATAACAGTAGCATTAGCACACGTACACTGAACACATGGGAATTATGTACAGTACATCCTGAAAGTATTCACACTCCTCTCAATGTTTCACAATTTGTTGTATTGCAGTCATCTCCTTCAGTCAAATAAGTTAATTTTTTTCTCCTTGATCTAGACTCAGTGATCCATAATGACAGCAAGAGTGTTATAACATAGGATGTGAATACTCATGCCCATGTGGATGTTTCAGTTTTTTAACGATTTGCCAAAACTTCAACAATTCTGTATTTTGCTGTCATTATGGGGCACGGATCCTAGATCAGGGAGAAAAAAATGAACTTATTTGACTGAAGGACATGACTGCAATGCAACAAATGCTGAAACATTGAGAGGGGTGTGAATACTCTCTAGATGCATTGAACATAATTCCCACGTGTTCATTCATAGTTTTGATGCCTTCAACGAGAATCTACAAAGGAAATAGACATGGTAATAAAGGAAACATTGATTGAGAAGGTGTGTCCAAACTTTGGGCCTGTACTGTACCTTTTCAAACAGCTCGCCATTCATGGTTGAAAAGGTCATGAACCAAGTTACAGAAGCTTAGATTAACATGCAACTGCATTGCTTCTAGAAGAACATCTAGAGAAACATATGGGTGTTCACTGTTGCAGTCACTTGAAGGAACATCTAATGGAATAGAGAAGAGAAAGAAATACATAATCTCTATTAGTTTCATTAGTAAAGTCAGTCAATAATCAAGGACAGCAGTAGCATTAGCACACATACCTTTTTAAATAGCTCGCCATTCATGGTCTGAGAGGTCCTGAATCAAAGTAAGGACTCTTGGATTCACATGGAGCCGTTTTGTTTTTGTTTGTTCCACTTTCGTCCCCTTCTCCGGATTAATAGAGAAGAAACATCTAGGTTAACAGAAGAGAGAAGAAACACATACCACTATAAATGATACAACCATCTCAACCAGTCAAATCAGTACAAAGGAAAAGACAAAAAAGGTGAGAATACAGGTTACAGTTTTCCATTACTTAAAGTTTAACTGGTGGGCGGGGAGCTAAGCGGCCAACCGTGAACCCCCTACATAATCCAACTTTTTTTATTTTTTTATTTTTTTTAAAGGTCTCATCATGCTTAACATGAATCAGAATGTTTACATTGAACATTTTGCACTACATGTTTCAGGTAGTCAGTGTATTTTCCAAACATTGCAAATTGCATTGCACCTTCCCCTAGCTCATGGAGAGTCATGTTCCTGTAATGCATTTCCATTGCATTTTCAATGTATGGACATACATTGACTACTTGAAACATGTAGTGCAACCCAAAATGTTCCGTGTTAACATTCTGATTCATGCTCAGTATGGTCAGACTTTTAAAAGAAAGTTGGTTCCTTTGAATTATGGGAGGGTGCACCTTAAGGCCTATAGACATTAGACACTACACTCTGCCTATTGACATATCGATGTCTTTTTTTCTCCTCTTGATGCCAGACACCTTTGGTATAATGTATAGATTCCTAAGTTAAAGGACAACTTCGGTCAATTTCAACAAGAGCTCTATTGCTCAAGCTACTTGAGACTTGCCAGGGCTGAAGACGTGAGAAATTTTGGTCTAAATCCTATAGGTTTCCTTGAACAGAGAATTAGCACTGACAGCTAACCCATGGGGACATAACTTTAAATTGTGAATTTAACGCTCCAAATGTCAACGCCAAAGCTATGCAACACCACCACTTACCAGTACTGGCAAGTCTCGAGTAGCTTGAGCAATAGAGCTCTTGTTGAAATGGACCGAAGTTGTCCTTTGAGCAGAACATGTCATTTTGCCCATGAAATGAAATCGTTTTTGCTAAAAAATACTCAGGCAATTAGTTTAACAAGGTGTCAACATTATTTGATACATGTTATTTGATACATCGTATTTCAGTTAGCAATGCTACAGAGCAGTTATCTTGACTAAGATGGTGGTGGCGATGGGGTAAAGAAACTTGGTTATCATGCCAGTAGCCACAGAAGTCAGGGGTTGAAGCTAGCCCCTAGCAAGGCACTTAACCCCATGTTGCTAAATAGAACAACAGAAATAAATAGAACAAAACAATTGTACAAAATAAAATAACATACCTCTGTAGAAATTCCAGGGTCGATGCAAGCGTGGATGGGTAATGAATGTTAAAGCAGTAATAGCTGCCAAACATCATGCACAAGGCCGAGATGAAAGAAGAGATGTTCTTGTTCACGATGACTTGATCCATACTCAGCATCATCCGTCCGGAGGAATAGCAGGACTGCCCTATTTTTTAAAAAAAAACAACAGCAGCAATTTAGGTAACATTTCAACATGTCAGTAACTCGTAGCTCAAGTGTAAAAATAAGTGTGTATACTATATGTATGCGAATGAAAAAAAAACTCATCTGAAAAAAACTGAAACAATTAAGAGATAGAGGTCAGTGTGTGAATGAGAGAGCATGTGTTCAGTCTTAGGAAGGCAGGTGTGTGTGTAAGAGATAGTGTTCATGTGAACGTGTGAGTGAGTGTGTGAGAGAATGAGTAGGGGTATTTGAAATTAACAGCTGAGACAAAAACAATTACAGATGCTGCATGAACATAATTTAAATTAGAAATTAAGAAATTTGGGATATATTTGTGAGTGAGGTTAACTTACCACATAAAACAATCGTGGGAGTCAAGGGAACTCTGTTCATGTCCACTTCCCCAGCCAGGCAAGTGTCCTCCACATAATGGAACATCACAACCCTACAATGCAACACATAACCCTTTAATGTGTGCAATGTTCTCCTGCAAAAATGACAATGAATCATGGCGTGGGGAGCTTGAAACAGGCAAAATAGCTATTAGCTGCTAGCAGCCAGTAGCAATGTGAAGTTCGCCTATCAGCCAGTGAAATAAAAAAAAAAAAAACGCGCCTTTTTGTTTCACAAAATTGTCTTTTGACTTAACCTGATGCTAGAACCAGAGACATTACTTACTGAATCATGGCGTGGGGAGCTTGAAACAGGCAAAATAGCTATTAGCTGCTAGCAGCCAGTAGCAATGTGAAGTTTGCCTATCAGCCATTGAAATCTATAAAAACGCGCCATTTTGTTTCACGAAATTGTCTTTTGACTTAACCTGATGCTAGAACCAGAGACATTACTTACTCAAACTTGGTGTCTGTTAAGTGCCACTGCCAGAGAGCCGAACACGCACGTGTACCAACCTAGCTAGTAGCCACTCTGTGGGACGTTGACGCTGATAAGCAAATACAGCCTGTGAATGGGCGGAGCTAACATTTGAACCAAAATAATTTGATATTCTCCTGCAAAGAACAAAGTATTTGTAAAATAAACTATCCTATATAGCAGAAATAAACAGATAATAGAATTGTTTACTTACCAATGATTGGTTTCATGAAAAATTCCAATATATGTAGAGCAGAGAATCGATTCAATAAGTCCTCTTCCAGATGGCCATGGTTTGATTCAGCTGTGTTTTCCATTCAAATATCATCATGGATAGGCATCCCGTGTTAACTAGACCTACATAAAGCTTCCCATTCCTAATTTATTCAAAAAAAAAAAAAAAAAAGTATTGTCTTTTAAACACATTAACAGTTTTATTTGGTTTAGAGTTTTACGAAATGGTAAACAAAATTAGGTTAGGGATCAGTCGAAGCGCAGCCCAAAGACCCCTTATGATGAGTACCATTAATGGACTCAGTGCTCCCTGCCTGTGGGATTCCAGAGGCAGCTGATGGGTATCGGCAGTCCAAGCGACAAGCGGCTCGGGCGGTTGCCGAGGCAAAAACTCGTTTTATGAAATGTGCCAAAGAGCCTAGGCTACTGACTTTTTTTTTAACAGGGCAATGATGTAATTTTAACTGTATGACTTTTTTTTTTGCATTACAGTTAATTTGTGTTTAAATTACATTAATTTGCTAATTATACAAAAAAAATTCTGATAGATTCAACATATTCTTACTGTAAAATGAACAGTTTTATTTGGTTAGGAGTTTTACAGTTTTTCATTGTAAATTACACAATGCTTCATTGTTTTTGCATCTACAGTTTTTTTATGTCATGATTTTACAGGAATTCACTGTTAATTCTACGGATATTATTTACAGTGTACTTTCCCTCTCAGCAAACAAATGTGTGTGTGTGTGGGGGGGGGTGTGAGCTTGCATGCATGTGGGATGGGAAGAAATAAAACAAGAGCTTGTACCTACAGTGAAAAGAGACTGTGGCTAGCCAGTTTAAATTAGATAGCACTGTTGATAGGTGACAGTGAGGACGGGCAACGCGGGACTGTCAGAGGCACCTGTCACAGCCTTTTTCCATTCGTTGGTTTGATCAGAAGAAAATTTGCAACACTGCTTTACTGCTGTGTTATCTTATCAGCATCTGCAGCTATATCTCATCCGGGCCCATCCATCACATTATAATGCCCTTTACATCCCCTCTACAAATGCCAGTCACATTTTGTCTTTGCAAGGCTGCAAAACATCAATAGCTAGTTTGTCTCGTACAGATGAAGTGAGTGAAAGGTGGCTCATTTGCTGTGCTTGGGGTGTAGCAACCTTTAGCATGGTTTTATGATTTGATTTGCCTGTTGCAAAAAAAAAAGAGTATTTTAATATAAACCATCATTTTCTTTTTTTTTTTTTTGTTTTTTTTTCTTTTTTTTTTTGAAAGGCTATTATTTCAAAAGCGGTGTTAAGGCTAGACAGATGGTGAGGCAACCTTGGGAGTTGACATTTGGATATGCCAGAATGTGACATTTTAATACAAAAAAAATATCTTTAAAGAATAGATCGGTTTATCAATAGCTGCTTTAAAGATATGGCAATTTTGCTCTTTTGTCATGGGCCCTCTGCAATTCTTATACATTTAAAAAAAAAAATCCAGCGCAACCAATAATAAGTTTAAAACTCTCGAGTGAGACTACATCAAAAGCCACCATATTCTAATGAGGCAGCTCTCCGATAGCATTCATTTACACATTCATTTGATCAAATAACTGACATTTTAGCTCTATTTTTGTGTGCTGGATAAAAATAGGGTCCTATTTGCAGGTTGGTGCTGTAAATCTGTCTTCGTTATGAAACAGCTTTTGTATAAAAACTCATTTTTCTCTAGTTTCTCCTTCAAACTTGCTCTCTTCTGCCTCAAACAACAAATCCAAAGCAGTGCAGATCAGTGACCGTCCTCTACGGTTAAAATCTCAGTCAGCTTACTGACTCTTTCCGGGAGTGGTAGAGTCAAACAGGATACTGCTTTGCACATCTGTTACATTAGTCTGCAGTTTTCCATAAGCTCCTCTCCTTTAAGTCACCGTGATGCTGCTGTCTCTGTTTTGTGCTGAAACATTCCAAGAAGACAGGCCCCAAAGAGGATTTAGTGTGATTTATGTGAAACACGCTGGAAGGATGTAATTGAGCTTTCTTGCAGTTCACTGCTCTCCTAAATACTCTCTGTCACAGGGCAGTTCTAAGCTAGCTTGTGGTAGATTGCTTTCCAGTACCTTAATTAGCATAACCCCACACTTTCCTGCCAATGAATAAATGAAGCTTTTTTGGAATAAACATGCCACCCTGAGGAATTGTTTCCCCTGGAGTGCGATGCAACTGAACTTCTTTAAAGCTACCATCTGTACATTCTTCTGTGCAAAATTATTGTTTCCATATAACATGTTTAGGGAGTCAGCAGAATCTAAAATAGATTTTTATACAAAGAAAAGCTTTCTCTTTTTTTTTACCTCAGATGTCCGATTTTTGTCAGATTTTTTTTTTTTTTTTAAGATTCAATCATAGATTTTTTTACTCATTAAAAAATGTGTGGTGTGTTGTAACACATACAGTAGGCACTAAGCGCTGTATAGTTGAATCATAATAATAAAAAACTTAGCAGATGATGCATTGATGAAGATTTACTCACCTAAGGGTGCCTAATGGTTGTTACTGCTTCCAATGACAAATTCAGACCTGCTTGTTAATTCAGCTAATATTTATTCGGCTACATGGTGGAAATCATAGCTTCTATATTAGGCTGTGAAAGTTTATTTCAAATCAACTAGAGACCTACTGGATTGAGTAAAAATTATTCATGGATGTACAGCAAAAAGAAAGAATCAGAAGCAAATAACACCTTCAGTTTGCCTTTAATATAATTAATATCTTGAAGTAGATACGTATGCTTTAAGATTTGCTTCGCTGACATGAAAGGCAACATAAAAAGGTTAGAGTAACTACCCAAAGCCTTTAATGCCACCCCACCTTCTTATAAAAGTGCATCTGCAATTAGTGCAGTAATTTATTGATATTAAAAACTAGACTGTTCAATAGGTTCAATAGTCTGTGCCCATTTGGAAAAATAAAATATGATAAAAAAAAAAAAAATATATATATATATATATATATATATATATATATATATATATATATATATATATATATATATATATATATATATATATATATATATATATATATATATATATATATATATATATTATAATAACAATATGATTTGAATCCATCATGGTTTTAACCACTTACAAATCTTACTATAACATTTTTTTTAAGTAGAAAGTACAGTTACGATGGTTAAATGCCTGGCTGGCTGGCTGGCTGGCTGGCTGGCTGGCTGGCTGGCTGGCTGGCTGGCTGGCTGGCTGGCTGGCTGGCTGGATGGATGGATGGATGGATGGATGGATGGATGGATGGATGGATGGATGGATGGATGGATGGATGGATGGATGGATGGCGCTTGAAATTTAGTTTAAAAAAAGAAACTGAGAACACGAATTTAAACATTTAATAAGTTAGTAATGGGAGGCTAATGGCCATTATTTCAGATGTTTTTTAGGAAAAAATTTTCTTTTTTTCCATGGATTTGAGTAGATGTGTATTTTTCCACGTGTAGTCAAAATAATTTTCTTGTATTGTTTTTTTTATCTGAATGTTTTTTTTGTTTGTTTTTTTTTTTACCTTTTCTAAGGTTTGTTTTGAAAAATCACTAAATTGGCTTTCTACATTTTTGTTATCTATAGGAGTAATGACATATTATTAATAAATATAATATTAAAAAACTACAATCACAGATCTATATAGAGATCACAGATTTCTATAGGAATCTGTGATCTCTTTAAAATTATATATCAAGTCAGTATTTTTGCATCTTGCATGCAATTTCCTTTTTTAGTTGTCACTTCATAAACATCAGTGACTAATCTTGTACTGTCATGTGCAATGAAAGAGCAAATGTCATAACAGAGCATAGAAAATCACAGCTGTTTGTCTTCAGAGTTTTTTCTTTCGTGTTTAGAAAGTTTTGTAAGAAATTTATCAGGTAGCCTGGTGTCTTGTTAGATGCACTGTGTGTGTGTGTGTGTGGGTGGGTAGACCACTGGGGATAGACAAGTCACTGCTTTTAAAAATAATTTTTTTTAATGTCTTTGAAATTGTACAGGCATCGTTTCTCTACATGTGTTATTGCTGAATATTTAGAGAGAAGTTAAAAAGCTTCTTTCTGACTGCGTCAAATCAAAGATGATTCACGCGTCTTTGACGTGAAACACCAGATCTGAACTGTTTAAGTGACTGTTTTTATGTAAACGAGGAAGCTAATATCTGTAGCCCAGACATAAGATTTGACAACACTGAAATAAATATTATTAGGTAATGACCTGCTTATCTGTGGTTTTATTATTTACTGGGTTGAGATAACCAAAATCTCTCTCTCTAAAGGAATTCAGGAATTTTGCAGTGATAATGCTGGAGCTTCTCAGATGCTCACAGATAATCCAGAGCAGGGACATCATATCCTACGTAAGCCTCCATGAAACCAGAGATGTGGAGGAGATCCAGAGAGGGTAGAGATAAAAGAGAGACGTTAGGAAATAAAGATGTATATTCTTGACTGATTATGAACATTTGTTTCTGCTGATCATGCTCCTCCGAGATCTCAGCTAATGGTGCTCACTTGGTGCTTTTTGGTGCTCAATGCAGTCTGCTCCTCTCAAAAACTCCCCTACACAACTTGAGAGGGCCAAGTCAGTCATTGAATGATTGAGAGCATTGCTTTATAGCAGTCTGATCTCACCTTGCCACGAGAAGAGCTGACTAACCTAGACATTGTTGCAACAAAACGGATATGACATTAACCTGAACAGACTTTTTTTGCTTCTCTGATGCAGGGTTTCATCTAAAGCAGGGGTGTCAAACTGGTTCCAGAAAGGGCGGTGTGGCTGTAGGTTTTCTTTCCAACCAAGCAATTG